TGGAATTATTCCCGAATGTAATATTAAGTGAAATAGCAAAAATAATATGTAAAAGTATACCACTTGTGATAATAACAAGTAGAAACAGTCTACTTAAAATGGACAAAAGGGTGTAACAGTGTCGAATATTGTGAGTCCAATATTGTGTGTCGAATATTGTGTGTCGAATATTGTGTGTCCAATATTAATAGTGTGTCCAATATTGTGTGTCAAATATTGTGTGTCGAATATTGTATGTCGAATATTGTGTGTCGAATATTGTGTGTCGAATATTGTGTGTCGAATATTGTGTGTCGAATATTGTGTGTCGAATATTGTGTGTCGAATATTGTGTGTCCAATTCTCAGTAGTAGTACCAGTTCCTAGTAACCAGTTACCAGTAACCAGTGTACCAGTAGATGACTCACTACCAACCGTCTGTGTGAATCACTGTTATTCATATTCCTGCTGACCATAGCAGGATTTCAAACACCCCTCACCTGTAGGCACTTGAGAGTCAGTCGAAGATAGGGAGCAGAGAGAGGCAGGTCGGCTGTTGGCACTTCCCATACTTTCCGTTATATTATATGTACTACCAGCCTACGTGAGTATTCTTACCCCATCCACGTTGTTATCGAAAACCCACATGACAAATGGTGACAGCGGTGTGGGCGTGGATTTAAGGGTATTTCAGACGTTAGAAGACTGTTTGTGGGTTGCCGGCAGGTCAGAGGTGAACCGTGCCACCTCCAGCTAGCCGCTTACCCTCACTCACCTCCACCCCTGTGTACTCCAGCCTGAAAGCCAGTTGCAGCCGTTTTTCAAGCTTCCTGGCTTAGTTCGTGTGCTAATTGCTTCAATCTCCGAGGGGTTGACCCGGATTTTCCAATTAAGCCAGTCAATAAGCCAGACTGTGGAAGTGAACGCTAGTCAGCCTGCCTCAGCAATACCATCAGCACAGTCTGTATTCCTGATCATCCACCTGCTCCTTCAAGCTGTGTGCATCGTTTACACGTCTTCCAGTCAGCCATTCTCGTGGGTTAACCAGTCAGTCAACCCATCTTCTAACCCATCTGAGAGTAAGAAGTAAGCCACCAAGTTCTCTGAAGTATTTATTCAAATAGCTCTTGTGTTTGGATGCTGGTAAGAGTTGTCTTCATCATCCCTGTGAGGCATTGTGATTAGTTATGCCCATGTGAGTGGGTGAGAAATTGCGTGGCAGTGGAGAGCGCACAGGGCCATCTTGTTCTGCTGCCCCGACCACCACCTGCACCCCCCTCATCTACCTTGGCGGTTTTTCCTTTTTCCACCCTTGTACCGGGTCCTAGTACTTGGCTC